TAGAATATATATTTTGAAACAATTATGTATACAACCAACTTAAAACAGCAGTGGGTTCATCCTCCCAACACTGCTTCGTGCTTGTAACTTCGGCAACATGGAGAAGGTCTCTTCTTTTTGGTTTTTTGCTTGTTGAAAATAAGGTTTATGTATTAAATTATGATATTTTTCAAATTTATTAATGTATTCTTACGTTGCATTTTAAGAGATAATATTTTTGTGTTTAATATATATTTTTAGGGGGTGTTTGGGATTGYTTATAAAAACAACTTATTGGTTTATTCCGGTGTAATACCGATAATAAGCATTCTTGAGTGTTTGGATAAACAGCTTATACCGGTGCCAAACCGGTAATAAGGAGTTTTTGAAAAAGTTAAATTATTCTAACTTATAATAAGTTGATAAGGATTTTTATAGAAAAACATAAATTGTTTCAAATAAGCAATCTCAAACACCCTCTTATTGCTTTGTATTCTAATTGTCTTTATTATATTGAATATTTTGAAAAGTCATTAGTTCCAATCATCATAATAAAAATTCTAGGACCCGATTAAAATTTCTGAACTCGTTCATAACAGGGGTGTGTAGAAAAGTCATTCAATCCAATTTAAACCGATTGATTTAATTAGAACCAACCGACCATAATCGAATATCCATTTGTAATTGGATTGGATCGAATCCAAAATTCTAATATCCAAATCGGATCGGTCCATTGGATGATGATTCATCATCCAGTAAAACCAAACTGAACTGATCCAATTTGATGGCCATCCAATTCTCCATTCAATGACCATCCAACTAAAATTTAGTTAATAACTATATATCATTATTAACATTTTTACGATAGTGTTTTTGGGTTGATATTTATGTACATTGTTTTTTAATAACTTAAGAAAAAATATACGAATAATTGGTTGAGCATTGGATCAAAAGATTGGACGAATCTGATCTGATCCAATGAATAACCAATAGTAACATTTAATGGATGAAACTGATCTAATCCAATCCAATCATCATCCATTGGATTTTGATCGAATGTCGAATCCTAATAGAATCAGATCGGATGACAAAATCCAACATCCTATGGATGATTGGATCGGATCGGATCGGATCTACCTAAATCCATTGAATTTCAGCCGATGAACATCCCTATTTCATACTTTGAAAATTTGAATTGTAAATCTATAAGATGATGATTTGTTGGATCAATTATGGTTGAATTGGCTAGTTGTAATCGAATCAAATGACTCACCACACCATCCATCACAACCACATATAAGGATGTTTTTATATTTTATTTGTCATTCATTTCAAAACTTGTGCTATTTTATTTGTGGCATAATCCAAAAACTAAGTAGGGAGAAATTTGGAACTCACTAGATATTTTTCATACAACACATAACATTTCTCTGCTACCATCATTCATGAAAAGAGTCCTCACCAAATACTCCACATAAATGAAAAAAAGATAAAATGTACAAAATAACAATCTACTTTTAGAAATTTCTTCATTATAGTATTATATTTCCAGTTTTTCTTATTACATCAATGTACTTTTAAACTATTTTCTATTAGAACATTGTACTTTGAAAAATTTACCCATTATAACATTGAGTAACCTTTTGATTTAAATTTACCCATTATATCAGGTTTCCATGCCACCTCATTATCCACGTAGGCTGTCCACATGTACTATAGTGATGCGATTTTTTTATTACAACATTGTACTTTCAAAATTATTTTATTATAGCATCTACTAGTTTTTATTAAACATTGTTTACTTTTAATTTTAATATTTAGATATTTTACATGTTATTTAATAAATATATTAAATGATTTAAAAAATTTCTAAATTATTCATTAATATACCAATATTAATGAAACTAGTAGAAGACAACTTATCTCGCTGATATTTTTTTTTTTAAAATATGTGTTTTTTGGAATAAGAAAATAAGAATTGTTTTTTTTACCAAAAAAATATTATCTTTTAAAGAATAT